CACTGCTGTGTGTGTGCACTTTGGATGGGATAAATGCAGAGCACTAATTCCGAGTGTGGGTCACCATACTTGGTAACATGTCACGTCACACTCACACTTAAGATCGCGCTATAGAAGCCGCCTAAAATTAAGTATAAAGAGAAGAAGAAGAAAGCGGTCCTAGGCAGCTGCCTACACATGCCAGGATCCGCCACTGCCAGATGCAGTTAGAAATTTACTAAAAACAAGCCTATTGCAACATGCACATGGTGTGGCCAGCCAAATTTCAGGGGGGCCGGTGCCACCCCTGGCCACCAGGTAGACACGCCCCTGTATTAAAGCTAGTCTGTTAAATTATCCTTTGCCCTAATGAAATTTAGTAGTTCTTGCATAGAATACAGACTATTAGTAAGATGGTGGTCAACAGAACCATACAGATGACATTACAAGATTACAAGACACTGTGAAGAGTAATTACAATTTAATGAAACCATTAAAATGGAAAACAAATTAATGGAAAACAGAATTTGGTAAAAATAAATAAAACTGAATTTGAGGGGAAAAAACATATTTCATAGGGCCTTAAAAATGTATTTTTTGTTAAAAAATTTTAATAGATTGCTGTTAAATAGTGTAAGTTTCATTATTTTAAATAATTAGACATGTTTTGTTATTAATAAAATTTAATTTATCCATTAAAACAGAGTCTTGAAAAATTGAAACAGGAAAAAAATGGATTCCAGAAAAATGTAAATGGAAAAAATTGAATTTGGAAAAAAAATAAAACAGAATTTGGGAAAAAAAATTAAATGAATTTAATAGGGCCCTACAAATGAAATCCAGTCTATAAAACATTTTCAAAGCTGTTGCAGGGTTCCTTGTTAATTTTGATGATTAAAAAAGGCATCTCTACAGCCATTTAACAGTAGATATCTGAGCCCCCTGCAACCATGAGGGCATCTATGAAAAACAGTATTAACAGCATATTAGCCCCGCTGTCCAAACATCTTTGGGCTTTAATCAATGTCAATGTCAAATGATGCCTTGTCTTCATAAAGTCAGGTAGTTCAATAAAGTCAGGATGGGAGGTGAGGGGCAATATGCACATTACCCAAAGGAGAAGCCTGGGCCTCTAATGAAATTAATCCTTAAATTATTCATCATCATCACAGAGCCTGACAAATGTCGGAGGATTACCACGATGATGAGCTTGAGAAAAAAAAAAGTCCTCTAACTAAGTTGTGATGGTATTTTTACTCTCATTTATTTGTAACCTCAAGATAAAGCTTTTTCGTCATAACCCATGAGTCCCATAATCCTGAATACCAATAATTTATTAGACACTGACTTAAAAATTGTGGGTTCTAGGCACAAATGATTCAAGGACAACATTATTGTTTAGAAAAGTACATCTGTTTAAGAGCCAAGCAGAGGGCAAAATGTTTAAAACCCACCTTGATTTTCAGATCATCTGTATTGGTACATCTATCCATCTGAAACAGGGAGAGCCAGAGCGGAGTGTCTCTGGGGTGTCATTCATTTGGGGGGATGTTCAATCAATCAAGTCAATCATTGATCTTCCTGTCAAATGGTTTTATTCTCTGTAATAATCTGCTCACATTTGACAGAGACCTGTGTGGAATAGTAACGAGACAGACAGACAAGGTAAACGGTTAAGAGGGGGCTGCAGGCCACTGGTTGCTATATGAAGCTGCTGTGGGAGTGATGAGCTACAGTACACATTCATGTAATAATTCATCTATTCTGGGCAAGAGTGGACATTATGTTATGAAGCTGATCCGATTGACTCCTGCGTGAGCTGTTTCTTCCTAATATATATATATATATATAGTCATACAATTTCATTAATACACTTCTATATAATGAGCATTTCTTATTTATTTTTATTTTTGTTTATTTTAAATGTCAGGGTGATACAACTGTCATGATATCATACTGAAGAAACAAAAAGCCATTTTTGAAAATGAATTATTATTAAAGTGATAGTTCACCTAAACATGAAAATTCTGTCATCATTTTCTTACTCTCATGCCATACCAAACCCATAAGACTTTAGTTAATCCTTGAAACACAAAATAAGATCTTTTTCATGAAACTTGATAGATTTCTGTCTCTCCATTGAAAGTCCAGGTAACCAAAACTTGGAAGGTCCAAAAAAGGTCATAAAAGCATTGTAAAATGAATCCATGTGAATCCAAGTCTTGTGAAGAGACAGAGTTGCTTTATATAATGAACAGTCCGTAATTGAGGCTTTTATTTACACTAAACAATGATCGACACAAAAAAAAAAGCAAAGACCAGGGCACATGTAACAGCCATAAGGGACACAACACCAGACAAAGAACTGGGGCAAACACAGGGGTTAAAATACAGGTTAACATGGGTAACAAGGGGGAGGAGCTAATTAATTACTATTGTGGCTAATAGGGGTAACTATGGTAACAAACAGGTAGGCAAAGGAGCAAGCGGGACATGAACTAAATACAGAAAGTGAAAAGTACCGGACAGTGATTTTTCTCAGTTAATCTATTAATTGTAAGTAATGAAATCAGATTTGTGTGTCCAGACATAACCAACCTATCTGCATGGGTTGGTTTGGTAATGACGTAGGCGTACCCACATATGTGACAAGTCTTCTAAAACGAATGCAGGAAAAATGAAGTTGCATCGTCTCGCTCTCCAAATAATAAATAGTCATGTTCCTTGCTGTAGTCATGGCCGGCTTCGGCTTTGTTTGAATACCATATGAATACTTCCGGCATTTCAATCACCGGTTTTTACTCTATCGCTGTGTTGCTTTAAGAGTGATTTAAAAAAAAAAGGAAAATAATTGACATCTAATTTTGAGCAGCCAGAGCATCCAGACTGAGACGCAGTCTGTAAAAATCTGATTTGATTCGCATTTCAAAACCACCTCCAAATGTGATTTGAAATGTAGTAAAATCAGATTTCATGTTTTTTTGTTTGTTTTGTTTTGTTGTTTTTTTGTTTTTTTGCTGTCCAGACTGTCAAAAACCCATATGGATAAAATCTGGATATGCAACAAATCAGATTTTTGCTAGCAGTCTGAACATAGCCTGTACCAGAAAATGTATGCATTTAGCAGACGCTTTTATCCAAAGCGACTTACAGTGCATTCAGGCTATACATTTTTTACCAGTATGTGTGTTCCCTGGGAATTGAACCCACAACCTTTTGCGCTGCTAACGCAATGCTCTACCACTGAGCCACAGGAACACTAAACAGATCACCCGACTCATTGAAAAGATCCAATAAAAAGAGAGAGTTTCCTTTATAGGCAGCAGTTCTTGATTGCTGTTTACTAGTCTCTGGCTAGCCACTACTCAGAGAACCCAGTCCCTGCAGGAGGCCCTGTTCTGGAGAGCCTCCACGGGTAAACAGAGATCTCAACAGGACAGGGGAAGCACACATTGTGGGAGCGGGCAGAGCTGGCAGCCATACAAAAGGTTGCATCCGCATGGATCCACCCAATGATTAGCAGGCAGTGGGAGGCTGGGATTCACCGCTCCCCTATCGGAAAGAAGGCAGGATGCTGGGGTGTTTTATTTGTCTCATTAACACGTGAAGGACAGAGTTAAGATTCTCTGTCCAGTGTCTTAAAGAGAAAGAACCCCATATGGTTTCTTCTTACAAAATAACTTGTAAAGCAAAGACCTTTTTTCTCTCTCTCTCTCAATTAGGTTTCCTTAGAAACATAATTACAATAATTATTGTAATTATGTTTCTAAGGAAACCTAATTGAGAGAGAGAGAGATGGGAGTGATGAGCTACAGTACACATTCATGTAATAATTCATCTATTCTGGGCAAGAGTGGACATTATGTTATGAAGCTGATCCGATTGACTCCTGCGTGAGCTGTTTCTTCCTAATATATATATATATAGTTTGAATACCATATGAATACTTCCGGCATTTCAATCACCGGTTTTTACTCTATCGCTGTGTTGCTTTAAGAGTGATTTAAAAAAAAAAGGAAAATAATTGACATCTAATTTTGAGCAGCCAGAGCATCCAGACTGAGACGCAGTCTGTAAAAATCTGATTTGATTCGCATTTCAAAACCACCTCCAAATGTGATTTGAAATGTAGTAAAATCAGATTTCATGTTTTTTTGTTTGTTTTGTTTTGTTGTTTTTTTGTTTTTTTGCTGTCCAGACTGTCAAAAACCCATATGGATAAAATCTGGATATGCAACAAATCAGATTTTTGCTAGCAGTCTGAACATAGCCTGTACCAGAAAATGTATGCATTTAGCAGACGCTTTTATCCAAAGCGACTTACAGTGCATTCAGGCTATACATTTTTTACCAGTATGTGTGTTCCCTGGGAATTGAACCCACAACCTTTTGCGCTGCTAACGCAATGCTCTACCACTGAGCCACAGGAACACTAAACAGATCACCCGACTCATTGAAAAGATCCAATAAAAAGAGAGAGTTTCCTTTATAGGCAGCAGTTCTTGATTGCTGTTTACTAGTCTCTGGCTAGCCACTACTCAGGGAGCCCAGTCCCTGCAGGAGGCCCTGTTCTGGACAGCCTCTACGGGTAAACAGAGATCTCAACTGGACAGGGGAAGAAGACATTGTGGGAGTGGGCAGAGCTGACAGCCATACAAAAGGTTTCATCCGCATGGACCCACCCAATGATTAGCAGGCAGTGGGAGGCTGGGATTTGCCGCTCCCGTCTTGGAAAGAAGGCAGGATAGTTGGTTCGTAGCTCCGCTTCAACTGTGCGATACACTCATGAGGGGCAACCAAAATTTCTGACTTGTCAAAAAATGTATCTGACCATCCGATTGCCAGTCGGAAGAGGCTAATCACCTCTCGTTACACTGCATGTCAAAAAACGCATGACAAAGCTGATATTCGGCCCGACACAAAAAATAGTAAACAGTAAAGCGTGTTCAGTTTAATTCAATTACAGTTTATCAGACTGCTATGAAAAGGTTAGTATACCGCAGCAGCCCTCTTGTGAAGACCGAAGAGTGTAAAGACCAGCGTCTCTACCTGTGTGACTACACCGAGCAAGGACACCAACAAGGGTCTTGAGTATTGCTTCTTATTCATCCTCATTCCTACAACTTGTTTCACATCTATTTCAGTTTATATGACCAATCTTTACTATGTACTTCCAAATCCCTACTATTACTAACACTTGCAAACCATGCATCACACACTGTAGACAGCGCAATCCTGACAACATGTGCATTTTGCCTGTGTCTGCTAATACGCTGCTTTATTTTCCTATTGGTCTCTGGAATTGCCAGTCTGTGGTAAAGCAGATTTCATTACATCTATTTCTAGTTATTCAAGGCTCAACCTCATGGCCATGACAGAGGCCTGGATCAAATCAGAGGACACTGCTACACCTGCAGCCCTCTCCAATAATTTATCTTTTTCCCACATCCCCTATCTGACTGGAAGAGGTGGAGGTTCTGGT